AAACATATTTAAACACATTGAGATGGTATAAAGGGGAGATGTTATGACGATAGTAAAAGTGTCCGCAGCTTTGCATTACACATTTCGTCGTATTGGTGGTAAAAAGAGTTAAGTCGCACACTTATTAATTGGAGAAAATGGGCAAATAAGTTTGTAACTCTTAGGTTAAAACAACTTTTGATTTAAATCTTAAGTTTTTTTTAAATATGATAACATTTGGTACAAAAGAAAACACGTTCTTCATTTTAAGACTGCTTTAAAAACGAAAGAAAAAGAAAGGTATATAATTAACTCATTTCACCTTAAAATGTGGCTTAGCTCTTTTCACCACCAATACGACGATTTATCATTTGTCAAACTCGAGATAGTTTAAGGTGACTCTACAAACAGCACTTCACTGTATTACAAAGTATGTTCTGCATTGGATCTTGTACAGCAAACTTACAGTAAAACGCCGTATTTGTAGAGCAAAACGATGTATTTTATTTGTCCAGCATCCTGGAATCCAATACAACATAATTTACTGAACCGTAACAAATAAATAAGACAAAAACGTAATAAGGAGTAAAAAAAAGTAAGGTCCTCTGGTCCTCCACATGTATTTTTATCTATGGGGAGCTAAAAAAAGGTTATCATCCCTCCAAAGTTCATCAATGTTGTATTTTATGTGCCGCGTACAAAAGAGATATGGTCACTCTAAGCTAGTGGAGCTAGTCAGTTTTGGTGAAAATAAATGCCATTTTTTAAAGTAGCTTCATTTAAAATAATATAATATGAAACCAGTTACGAACGAGGGAACGAGTTTCATAAACGGCATTTTGTAATAACGTGTTACATACAATATTTTTTCTAATTTTGACTGGATTATTTATAAAATTGTGTTTTGGTAAAAAAATATTGACATCTATGCAACCAATACTACTACTTTCTTGTTAGTTGCATATTCGCGATTCAAGCTAAGTGATACGCCCTCTGGAGGAAATTTGTAGAAGGTCCATATAAGTAGGATATCGTTTAGTGTTGCCAGAAGTAGCGAAATTTCGCTACATCGTCGGATTTTAGCTCTCGAAGAAGTGGATAAGACCTTTTATTTAAGAAGCAAAATTTGTGTATGGTAATATGTTATCATACTCTATATTTATTTAAGGATTTTTTTATAAAACCGATTTATTATATTGATTTTTTTAAAATTTCAGTTCATTTATTAATTTTGTTTTAAAATTAGTTCATCATTTGGCAACATTGGCGTTCGTGTTCATATGGTGTTAATGTCAAAATCAAAACTGAAGTATTCATTATTTTCAAAGTACAAGTCGTAAAATTTTGTTTTTTACGATAAATGGATAACTACAAATTCACAATATTGAAATTTTACAAAAGTTTGTTTAGAACCAAACTGTAATCTTATTTTTTGACGGTTTTATTACCATTTACATGTATACAAAGTACTACATGATTCACTTCATAATATAAGAATAAGTCTAGTAAGATTTTTAAATAAGTTCATCAATAATAAACGTGTGGTACCTGAAATGTCCTTTAAACCACGTAATAAAACATGTCCTGGGTTTAGTGAATACATATTTCTAGATGTTCTTGTAGCAACCAATAGGTGAATATTTCCAACAAATTAAGTCATACACATGATAAATATTATATTTATGACGAAAGCACGAGACTTAAACTTAAATTAACACTAAATGAAACTCAAAAACACTATTACAATGAGAATATTATCTAAAAACAGTTAAAAAAATCACAAATACAAAATCCGCCCAAAACAAAAACATGTAAATAAACAAACATCCTACTTATAGATGACAAATGACAGGCGGGCGAAAATTAATTTGGATCGCCAGTTAACTTCATTCTTTTATTGACAAATAGAAAATCATATTCATTTATTCTCAACGACTTATTGTAGTTTATATTGTTTGATAAAATTATTTAGATTTAAATAAAGTGGGTTATTTTTGGTTGTGTATTGTGTTTTAATAATTTTGTGGTGATTTAGAATGGAAAATAAGGAGCAAATAACATTATTACTAGGTTGTAAGTTTGACCAAATTCCATTTTTATGAGTACAGCTGCCTTTCTTTGATATAAATTTTCAAAAATGTATATTATTGATTTTAAAACAAAAAAGGTTCATTTTTATTTGTTTTTATTTCGCAACTGGTCAAATAATGAATTTTTCGAAACCATGAGTTCATAATGTTCATTATGCAACTGGTTGCGTAAAATAGATCATTTTGACACTTGCTGCGATTAAAAAAATGTCAAAATTGGGAACAAAACATTTTCATTTCGTCAGTAATCAAATATTAAATTATTGATTACAAATAAATCAAAGTACGACCCTAAGTCGCCATTTTGATTCAATTGAACACACTTTTCGACACTACTTGTCCTAAAGTGAGTTCATGTTCCCAGACAGCACACCAAATCCTTTGGATATCTACTGAACATCCCAATATCCACTGAATGTCCAGTCCATGGTGGATATCTATTTTATATCCATGACCTGTAATTTATAGACATGCAAATGTCCATAAATAATAGTAATTATATAGCAAATTATTAAAAAATTACGCCATTGTGCTCGCCATTGTGGCTAATAGTACCGTTCAGATATTTAAAATTAATTTTTTTAAGGTGTATTCAATATCCCATGGACATCCACTAAATAATCAAAGTCTAGGCGCGAACGCAAACCATCGTGGATATCCACTAGATGTAATTTTTGATTTTGCTTACTAAGTATAGATGGCGATACCACTTTTGCATCTACTCATGCTTAACCCGCCATAATTGAGTTCGATCGAAATTTGTTTTCCAATCAGACTCCATTAGAGACTGGAGTCAAGAATTTCCATTTATTGCTGAAGTGTCCTAATAAGGATGACTTTCTCCTTAGTGGGCAAAATCAAAGGCAGTGTTGAAAATATTTTTTCTCTGCTATTTTCTTTCGACCTTATTCAATAAACATTGGTTACTTTTATGAACCTCTACTAAAGATGCCCATAAAATATTTTGCTATATATCCGAATTCTTCTATATCCTGGGATATAGACGGAAATTTGGTTGGATATCCATATTGGATATCCACAAAATATATTATGTGGATATCTCTGGGATTTCTCGTATTGTCTGGAAGATACCCATTAGATATTTTGCTGGATAATCCATAGGATATCTTCTATATTCTGGATATAGACGGACATTTGGATATCCATATTAGATCCACGGAATATTTCTGATATCCTGTGGATATATTGGATATTCACAAAAGATATTCTGTGGATATCTCTGGGATTTGGTGTGTTGTCTGGGTTGTCATATCGCAATAGTAGTTTGTGCAACAAGAGTTGATATGATAGCCATATCGTACGAAGACGCACGAGTGCGATGTGGATAATCCATTCGAGTTGTACAGAATATTTTTTCTACGACCCACTAACGAAAATTTACAAATAAAAAAATATTTAAGGTTATTAAGACAAAATAACTAATTTTAAAATAATTTATGACTTCTAATAATTTAAAAAAAAAACAAAAACCATAAAAGAAAAGAAAAAAGTTCATTTAATTTTTCCTCATCCAAGAATCGAACTCGAGTCTTCCGTGTGGAACGCAGGAACTTTTGTTGCTTTAATACTTGTAATTAAATTGACAGTTTAATAGTTTAATTTAAATTAACAAATTATTTATAGTTATAGACGAAATAAAAACAGAAATATTATTTATCGATTCTACACAAGACTAACCCCTTTTAATGTATGTTTAATATCAATAACTAAAAAATATACTGACAATTAGTTTGACAGAATTGTCACTTATTTAAAATTTTAAAAATAATAGCAGTCGGTTGATCAAAATATGATTGGATTTCATTTTTTGCAATGTTCTTACTACCTAGAATGGATATGAAATATATTCGTTCAGTTAAAGGCAATATCATACTTTTTTGTTTTGTAATCTGTGCGTAGATAATCTAAATATCCATGTGGGTGTAGAAAGAATAGTTTTTATATCGTCTCTATACTTCATTCTATCTCAGGTTTAACAATACTCTTTTATTGTCAGTTCATATTTCTAAAGTGGTTTTATAAAAAATGAATGGAAATGTAAGTTCCCAAAAAAAGTGGATAATATAACGTTTTTTTGATCTGAAATAATAAATTTTTAAATACTGGTAATATAGGTAAAAGAAACACCAAAATATTCATACAAAATATTAATAACGTAATGCAGAACATTGTTGAATTTACCACAACACTTGTCAAACAGTAGATTATTATCAGTATTACCATAATCGTTCCGTTGCCAACCTTTAATAAAATATCACAACTATTTCCAGTTACCCGGTACTTTTTAATCATTTTAAAAGTAGGTAATGTACCTACTTCTCGCAAATATTGTCTAAAAAGTTAATTTAAAATTGCTTTGTTAGTTCCTGGATTTTTCAATAAAATTTTGAGAAAGAAAATTCTGATGGCCTTCATAAGAAAATATAAAACCCCGATCTCTGCAATTTTTTAAAATAAATAAGAACGGTTTTTGTTACAATTTTGAAATGTAACTTTAAAGTGATTTTTACAATATTGCTTCATGTTTTCGTTAAACTGTTCTTATAGATTACATATCACTGATATTTCATAATAACGAACAAATCCAAAATAGTTAAATATTAAAGACAAAAATACAGGTATTAATTATTAATAAACATGACCCGGGTGTACATTTGTACGATTTTTCTCACTTTTAAACTTCGTATCGCCCTGCAAATCTACGAACTAAATTATTTTGAATACCTATCTCAAGAACGATCGAGTTTCTTACTAAATTTAATATTTTCTCAGTTTGATTTGTTCTGACATTTCTGTTAGAGTCTATATTGTTGTATTAGTTAATTTTAGAACATGTGACTCGATGTGTAAAAACACTTCTCTTATTAGATGCCTAGAAATCGAATATCTTCTATTTTCAATCAGTTCCAATTAAGCACGTCCAGTTAGCTGCCATTTTTGTGAATTTAAACTACTACTGCATCGTTCTGCTGTGATTCCCCTAGATTCTGAGTGCCTCGAGTCCAAACAAAGCGGATACTTTCCGTGACGAAGCAGGCCGCCTGGTTCGATGACGTGCCATTTTTGTTCCTCAGAACCATCACATATTCGCATAACAACTTGAGAACCTACTAAAAAGAGTAATAAATAAAAACAATAATTTAAGTATTGCATACAAAACCCTATTTGCTTTCAGATATGAAGTCATTAATTATTTTTAATAAATTATTTTACATAAAAATCTAAAAAAGAGTTCATTTAAACAGGGGTTTGGAAATCCCAGCTAACATAAATACGACACTGTAAAGGGAACCTGCATAATATTGTTATTAATTATTTTAGAATAATATTTAACAATCCACGTTTTGAAGCCCTCTTCACAGTGTTATTGTATCTATGTTATCCTGGATAAAAAAATCCGGACGTTATATAAAATGTTTTCTGAAGAAGTAAGAAATATAATATTTTTCACATTCATTATTTACTTAATAACATATGGTTTTACCAATTTCATATTACTAATAAAACAGTCCGCCATATTGAATTTAGAGTAACATCATTTTATTTTCGTATTCTTCTCATTTGATACCCATATCATGTTGGTAGATAAGAAAATTTTGTACGCCATCTTGGAGCCTATGCCATTTAAATTTAGTGTGACATCATTTTATTAATGTTTTTCGTATTCTTCTCAACAAAACCTTTTGATCGATACCCATACCATGGGGGTGCAAAAAAAACTAGTTCCCCATCTTTGGGAGTCCGTCATATTTGTAAATAATTTTGTAAACAAAACGAGAATAATGAAATAGGCATATGGCAACAGCGGATATTATATACCCTCCTGTATCCCTTAGAGTATGTCTTACTCAGGACCGCACGATATTTGTTAGTAGTTACATCTTTTCGTTATCTCTGGTGGACACGTTTTTAAAAAGAAGTGTTCACATAACTTGTGACGTATGCTGTGACGTGGATTGCGTAAGGTCTCGAGAATTCAAACGTTTTTCAGATTTTTGTGCTCAGATACAAATTGTTATAAATATATTTGTTTAATCTTTTAATATGTTGAATGTCTATTATTTCTTTCATTTGTTCACTGGGCGGCAATAAATGAAAATGTTCTTTTCACATTAGAATAATTGTGGGACGGGATTACAAAAAGAAATTCAGCTGTTTTTAACAACTCTTCGACCGCTTAAGGGGGTTTTACACTACAGCATTTGTCGTCGATTTTTTAATGACAGCATTTTTCAGATCTAGTTGATTTTTCTGTTTTTTTTTATGTTGTTAAAGTCAACTATTTTAAAATCCAGATGCTTATAAAAAATCCGCCTGGACACACCCGGACGTAGTAAAAACCCGGACGTTCCGGGCAATTCTGGGCCTTTAGTAATCCTACCACATATCCAAAGTGAAAACAAATCAAAGAAACATTGAAAAAGCTGAGAAACCAAGAAAAGAAAACATGGGATCTAACCTAGAACCTTCCAACTAGAACTGTCGGCGTCTCTACCAACTGAACCACCGATTTCCAAATTTGCATTTCAGTTTTTGGATCTTCATATAATATTACAGTTATTTAAACATTTTTTCGTAGAATTACTTCCAAAAATTAATGACTGCATATCTGAAACACCCTATAGAATGAACAATTAATCGTTTACCATTATAAAAAGCCTTTTGCTCGATTTACCTTTTACGAAATTTACTAATGTCAAACACAGGTCATGATGTCTTAAAAGTCCCGTATTTGTCAATGTCCATTCTTGGTTTCCTCCCGTATGATGACATTGATATAGGGACACAACTCCATCTAAAAGATGTCCCATGGTATCCAGACAAAATGTACCCTGTCGAACTTGGCCTGGATGTGAGGTAGTAGCTTGAGGCACTGTTAATTCTGGATAAACATTTTCCAGATACCATTTGAAGGGTTTACAATGCAGTCGTGTTTTTATTTCAAGTCTATCACTTATACTAAAAAAAAAAACAAAATAATAATTTCTAAATAGCTAAATTATCACGATACACAGACTAACGGTATGTTCTTGCGCATGCAGCTGACTGACGGTGACGTCATATGGGACATAGAATTATAAGCATTAAATAGGAGATAAATAAAAATTCGATATTTTTCCTGAGCTTCATTGGTTATTTTGTAATATATTCGTTTATAAATATGAAGGTTTAAAGTAAATAATACTAATAAAAATATTAATTTTTCTCATAAATTATGGGTATTTTGAGACAAAATCCATAACCTGGCCATAAGTAAAAAATATAACCTAAAAATACAACTTGGACTCAAATTTGTACTTTCTGGGCGTGGTAGTTCTCTTGCAATCTCTTTTCTTATTATTTGAAATAAAAATAAGTGTGAAACAAATTATTTATTTATAAAAAGTAAGTACACAAAAAAATTCTTTTTATTTTGTAAATTTAAACATTTTTTGTCAAGTTTACTTGGAAAATACTCAAAACCAATTGTTCTGTTTATTTATCTTATTCTTGTACTCGTATATGTTCGTGTCCTGCTCATGCATGGCATTACTTTAAAAGGACCGTTGTATTGGGACAGGAAACTAATGTTTTATGAGCTAAAACTTTAAAATACCGATTTATTTTCTTTGCTTAATGAGGCCCGTGCACCTGGTGGATTCAGTTTCCTTTTCTTGCGTCTATGTTTAAGAGGAATCTCACAACTACTTTCCTCAAAGTGGATAGAGCAACTTCAATTAAGTTTGTTTTTTCTTCGATAAGAATTTACCCATATTTTGTGGCATTCGGAAATATCTCTACCGCGCAGCCCGACATTTTAAACATTAATTTAGTTCTTCCCTATTATATATAGGAAAATATAGTCACTACTAACACAAATATAAAGTATTAAATTATTTTACACTATTCAATCGAAAAGTGTCAAAATAACTTGAAAGTTCGTCCCGCATTACGTCATGCGCGGTTTGGACGAATTTTGAATCGAAAGTCAGCATACCTTTAGTATGTGTATCTTGCTAAATTATGACTGAAAGGTTTTTATTTTAATTCAAACCATGGATAAAGAAGAGGACTTACTCTCCAAATGGCACACTTTTGGCTAAAGGAACTGAGGCATAGTAATAATTTTTATAGTCATCCATCCATACTTCGGCAGCTCGTCTTGTATTTTTTGCGAAAACAGTTCCGCTACCTCCTGGAAAGGTGTATGGATGTCTCTTTCGAAAAACGTGACCCACCTTAAAAATAGCAAGTTTAGTAATACATAAAAAAAACATTCTGTCAGACAGACAAAATTATATAGTTTAATTTAAATTAAAAAATTACCCTGCTGCATGGTATTATTTCCAGGCTTCCTCCACATTGCCAAACCCTGAATGATATTTCTAAATTTTCTCCACCCCATACGTCCATTTTCATATCATATTTCCCAAGTTTGTCAAAATATGCTTTGTTAATTACAAATAATCCACCGGCTATCATTGGGGTTTTTATGATCTAAAATAATTTAAAAATATATGAAAAATACGTTCATAATATAAATCTAAAATAGTTATTGATTATACAAAGGAACAAAGTACCGGGAGACAACACAACCTCGAGCTAAAATCTAACATTTTTCTCGTGTATAGTGTACTATTTTTTAATATTGAAAAAAATATTCAAGGGTAATATACCAAGACCTTGATAATAGTTAACTAATTTTGTTGAATCTAAATTTCGAGAATATTTTAATATCAATTTAATGAGGCATAACTTTAGGCATCAATTGATTATTAATGCCAAAATTCAGCTAACAACAAAAATAGTAGAATATTAATCAAAGTCGTGTTATATTTGGGATGACTATTTCACTAGATAAAATATTGAATAATTTTCTAAAGAAATAGTCGCCATAGTCTCTAAATTCATGCGAAAAAATTCAGGAGATGATTGCTCGTATAAAATTAAGATGGGTCTTTCCTATAACAAAATTTCCTCAGCCCACCCCTTTCCGAGATATCACCTTTAAAAGGTGGTAACTAAAACAGAGTTATTTTTTTTTTCTAAAATTTCAGTAAAGCTAGAAACTTGAAATTTTATAATTTTCGTGCACTCGCAAAGGACTAACCATGGGTATTTTTTCAATATTCCTGTTACATAATAGGGGGTGAAATTAGCAACCCTTACTTTATTTCATATCAAAACTTTTTTTCGAGATGAAATAAAATTATAACTTGAAATCCTTGTTTTATTTAAATTTTTTTCCCAAAATCAATAGTTGCAGAGAAAAAATAAACAACATAAATTATAATGTTTTTAATAAATTGAGTGGAAAACAGTAAAGATGTAAAATGTAATACGATTCATAAAAAAATGCTGGAAATGACAACTTTTAGCCAAAATACAAGAACGTAGCCTACGTGTCATGGATTGCCGTACACTTTCAAAAATTTGAGGTGTATTTCTTATGGTGTCACGCTCTATTTGAATACAATTCTTCAAATCGTTGATATCAACTATGGGTGTCATGTAGACTAATGATTTAAGGTAACCCCATAAACAGAAATCACAAGAATTTAACTCTGAAGATCGAAGAGGCCAATGTTGGGGCCCTCCTCGACCAATCCAACGGTTGGGATATGTTGCATCTAAATATTGCCTAGCAGTCCGACTGAAGTGTACTGCAGCACCATCGTGCATGAACCACATGTTTTGTCTGATATTGAGTGCGATGTCTTCAAGTAGTTCAGGGAGATCATTTTCGAGAAAACTGGTTTAAAAAATTCCATTTAATGGCTGAGGCAGAAAATGTGGCCCAATTAAGTTATCCCCTACAATACCAATCCATACGTTCACTGAAAAACATTTTGAAAATGGTGCTCTATAATCTCATGGGGATTCTCGTCTACCCATACGTGATTATTATGAAAATTTATGTTAGATACTCTTGAAAAATGTGCCTCGTCCGTAAAGAATACATTATTTAAAAATTGAGGATTTTGTCGCATTTCGTGTGTTAACCATTCACAAAATCTAACTCGTTGAGAAAAATCTCTAGGTAAAAGAGCTTAAACTCGTTGAATGTGGTAAAGATAAAACTGCTGCTCTTTTAAAACTCGCCACACAGATGAATGGCTGATATTTAGGGTGCATCTAAAATTGCTTGTTCTACCATTACATTTCTAACTGTCCGGAAACGAGCTGTGTTCTTTGAATTTCTTTTTAACATTTCAGTTTCGGATAAGCGGTTGTGAATACGTGCAAATACGGAATGATGAGACGTCATTCGTTGCGGATATTTTTCAGCATAAAGACGTCTAGCTTGTCGAGAATTACCACTTGCCATACCATACACAAAATGCATGTTGGCCATTTCAGCGTTTGTATATATCGTGGGCTTACTGCCAAAAGTGACCAAGTCAAATTTTAGGTGATCTGAGTGAATATGACCGAGTCACTTATTAAAGACAGATCTATAAACAAAAAAATCACAACTCATATTTACACTACCTGAAAGTACTTAATAAACTAAATCAATATGACTTAGCCATTTTTTATTGGTAGATCTGACTTTTCCAAGAGATTTGGTCCTAGTAACTCAAATCATATAAAATTTGACTTGATCAGTTTTGGCAGTAAGCCCACGATATGTTATAAAATAAACAATAGACAGATAAACGCAAAACTAACAACCTACAAACTTACAAGTAAACTTCGATTGGTAACTATCAACAACAGTGTTTGACATCAGCCTACTACAATTTGAATAAACATTAAGTAAACACGGTAAATGAATTGTCGAAGTGACAGCAGTCTACTATTCTAAAACTTTGTAATTAAAAACAATGTCGAGGTGGTCATTTCCAGCATTTATTATGAATCGTATTACATTTTACATCTTTACTGTTTTCCACTCAATTTATTAAAAAAATTATAAATTATGGTGTTTATTTTTTCTCTGAAGCTATTGGTTTTGGGAAAAAAAATTAAGAATAATTTTTTTTTAAATAAAACAAGAATTTCAAGTTATAATTTTATTTCATAAAACTAAAATAAAGTAAGGGTTGCTAATTTCCTATTATGTAACAGGAACATTGAAAAAATACCCGTGGTTAGTCCTCTGCGAGTGCACGAAAATTACCGAATTTCAAGTTTCTAGCTTTACTGAAATTTTAGAAAAAAAATAAAAACTCAATTTTAGTCACCCCCTTTTAAGGGTGATATCTCGAAAAGGGGTAGGCTGAAGAAATTTTGTTATACGAAAGACCCATCTTAATTTCATACGAGCAATGACCTCCTGAATTTTGTCGCATGAATTTAGAAACACCCTGTATATCCGGGAAAAATATTACCTACTCACTTTTCCCAGGGGAAACATTTTTTTCCCGGAAATGGGAAAAATGTAATTTAATAAAAAGTGACATTTTGTTACCTGACAAGACAGATAAAATGTCAAACTTTTTTCCGTCACAAAAAAAAACTACTTTCTAAAATGTTGTTCATAATTGTTTTGTTTCAAAATGTGTAATATCATTACGAATGTGGAAAGTGACATTTTTCACAAGGGTGGGAAATACTGTCGCACGAGGCATAAGTCGAGTACGACAATCACGCGAGTGTGAAAAATCACTTTCACACAAGTGATGTACAATATTTTTCATACGACCACAAAATAATTTTATCGACAAAATGTTAAACTAGAAAATCTGGCTATAAAGGTTCCATCAAGATGTGTCTGGCTTTAGATTTGTTTTTTATATGCCTTATTGAATAATGTTTAAAGCGTTTTACATTACAGATAGTGTTTTGTCAAAATTAAAAATATTGTGATTCCATTTACAAACAATTTAATAGTATGATAAAGATAAAATAACATTAGTTACAAAAAATATTGGAATACAGTCATGTTTTTCATTAGTTTATTTTGTTTTGAAACAAATAAGTTGAACAACAGTGAACAAAAACTTTTTTATTATTATTTTCAAAACAAACAACAGAAAAAAAAACAAAAAAAAAATAAAAAAACAAAAAAAAACAAAAAAAAACAAAAAAAAAACAAAAAAAAAACAAAAAAAAAAGGAAACAAAAAACAATAAAAACAAAAAAAAATATTCATCGGGGATTAAACCAGCGTCACGAAATGGTCACCAAAATGCAATTTGAAAAGTGAGACGCTAAACCATTTACGATATCACGGCTGTTTGATTTGACTTATCTAATTAAATATGTATATGCACCAGGAAGAAGCAAAAATAATGTAGGTAGTTACTTTAAAATTATTTTAATAATTTGTTAAAAAGAAATATCTAAGATCTATTTTAAAAAATTAATGTTATCAATTTAATCATCAAATCAATTTTACTATTAAAATGGACATTACATCAGTTAAAATAGAAATTAGACGTCTGACTTATTGGACAGCTTATGCGGAAAGAAGATTCATATTCACACACGTGTGGAAAGTAAATTTATCCACACGAGTGTGATATATAGGGCACTTCCCATAAGACTAAATAGTGCGATAGGTGTTAATTTCCTAAGTGGTTGTAGGAAAAATATATTTATCTGTATTCTAGTTATTGAGAGCCAGTGGCGTAACTATACTGGCGGAGCCCCCAATCTTTGGAGGCCCACTCCTCTCCTCCAATAAAAAAATAACTGAGACACATTATTATATTTTATAGTACCAATTCTGTGTTAGCTGAAAGATCTTTTAGTAAATTGAAACTGATTAAAAAGTATTTAAAAAAATAATACAGGGCAAGAACGTTTAACATATTTAACTTCAGACATAAAGAAAGATTCAAGGTACCATTTGGAAACATGAGACTGAGGCAAGAGATCCCGTAATGCGCGTAGGGCGTCCGATGCACTTAGTTACGTGTTAAAAGTGCTGTCGTGGTCTCTTCCATCGGTCGCTCGGTCCCAAATGTGCTTCATATAATTACATGTGTTCAGACGTAAAGAGACCCGATTCGGTCGCCTTACGCGGTACCTTAAAGATATGTGACCATTAAATTTGCAGTGATGAAAACCAGTTTTTTTAAATTATTGGAATTAAAACTGGAAGGTATTTGTGGCTGTATGTTGTCTCAAGATGTCACTGTCTGTGAAAGATTCTATGAAATGCGCTGGTTGAAAAGAAGTTAAAATACTGATTGCAAATGAACAATTTTTAATAAATCTAAATTTCAATATTACTTTCTTACTGAAAAGTTGCCAAAATCCAACTAAACTAAAAAAAGGCTAATACAGGGTATATAGACGAAACTACTTAACATGATAATTGAAAATAAATAATTAAATTAACAGTATTGTTGCAGTTTCGTTAATTACACCTACAATTAGTGTGTAACTTGTTTTTTAAATCAAAATTTGCGACTTACAGAGAGGGGTGTTATTTTGAGGATGGGGCCAAAACATTCTAGTTACGTCACTGTTGAGAGCATTGCTGTATATTTAGTGTATATTATCATAAAATTCTTCCTTAAAATTTGTGTAATAACTATGATGGCACCTTACCAAAAAAGTTACACCTAATTAAAAAAAAAAAAAAACTATAAAACAAGAAAATATTTGAATTTATTGTTATTTTATACATTACCTTTGTAGGATCTCTTTGACGGTTTTCCCTCTCAGCAAAACTTAAATACTCCCACTTGAAGACTAGATTCCAATCAAAACCACCTCTTAAATCTGCCGATGCACCAATGTACTGGAAACTGTCCATACTTATGACGTCTATCACCGGACACACAACCCTGGTAGGGTCCTATAAAATTGTCAATTAAAGACTTCGAAAAGACACCAAAGTATCAAATAGTACAGGAATAATTTTTAATTTATAGTAGATAATTATGCTCTTCAAAATATTACAATTTCCATTCAACATACTTCAAAAGCGGGTGCAGAGTCTTTTCTATAATTTAAAACGTCAGCATCTTTTGACAAAAAATCTCGAATCAATGGCTCAAGCAAGTTCTTGCGAGCTTTTGCACAATTAAACATGTATTTAATAATAAAAAAATTGGCTAAGTGCTTGGCACAATCGTGTTTTCCAACCTAGTCAATAATCCTATACTTTTTCGCAGAAAAATTAACTTAATTTAAAGAAACACCGCATTATTTACAAAACACTGTGTTATTTCTAAAAAAATAAAATTACTGGTGATAAAACTGCCTAGATATAAAAATATCAGAAAATCTTTTTTGTGTAATAGGATATTTTCTATTAGGTAAATTTGGTCATTACAAAAGATCGTTTCCCAGTAGACCTAAAAGTTAGCATAATTATACCAATCGCCCCGAGAACTATCAACCTATAAACCCCCTACCAATCATTAGGGATCAACTCATCCAAGCCTTTGTTGAAGAAACTCTTCTACTATATGTATGTGGGACAATCTGGCTTTCGTTAGTATGTTCAAAATTGAGAAAATAAATTAATAATGATAGTGTGTGGTAGTTAGTGTTTTTGAAGAGAGGAAATGAGCATTTGAAAGTATGTTGGTAATAAAATTAGAAAAATATAGGGCACAGTTAGTAGGGTTAGACTTAATTCATGATTAAGTATATAAATTGACAAGAATAAAAATGCCACATCAAATAAAACATTAAGTGCTTTTGGGTTACCACAAAGGAGTGTTATGGGATCACTTTTGTTCATAATCCATATTATGGTTATACAAAAAGTGTTAAAAAATTCGTTTCTAAATTTATTTGCAGATGATACTGTCATATCTGTTTCTCTGGATCTAAAACTAACAAAGAAACAGACTCTGGCGTACATGGAGATAAACCCAAATGCGACATCATCATCTCACTGAGAAAACATCCCACTGTATTTCAGGCTGAAATTCATGTAATTGAATTGTATGTACGAGAGAATTTAAGAAGAAAGCACAAAAAATAAACCATCTTAATTCTCTCAGATAGCCAAGCAGCCTTAAATGCCCTTGATTCAGACACAATCAAGTCATAGCTGCTCTGGAACTGCCTTGGAATACTAAATGATCTGGCAAACCACAATAATGTAAAACTAGAGTGGGTACCAGGACATAAATGTATCCAAGGAAATGAAAAGGCCGATGAACTTGCCAAAGAGGGATCAGAATTATCATTCACAGGACCCTTGGTTTTTTAGAAACATTTTATGTCGCCTTTTGACTAGGGTTAAGAAATGTATATAAAAGTATTTAGGACCCCTACTCCTTAAATATTTGAATCCTTTACACCTTAATTTTGTCCATGTAAAAATATTTTGTCCTTTTCCCTGTTCATATAGAAATATTTAGCTTTTTTACCTATTCAGTCCGCACATGTAAAAATATTTGAGTCCTTTGACCCATGTCAAAATAATATTTGGCCCCTTTAAATTTTTAATCCGATAATATCCAATTCAAATACAAGCTCTATTCTGGAGCTCGATAAAGCTTTAAGAGACATTTAAAAAGACTAATTTATTTGACAATTTTAAGAATGACAGTAGGTAATATATAAAAAATATGAGTTCATGTCTATCTGGTGAAATCAGTACCCGTGCCGCAATGCATAAAATAAGTCGATCGGGACTTTCGTTTTAGAGTTATCGTGACGGCACCGTAGGTAGGAAGCCTAATTACAATTTCAGGTAAGTATTATATTGTGCACAAAGTGTTTTCCTAAATAGGTACAATTGAAAATAATAGGATTAATCAAAAAATACATTTTTAATATTTTTTATATTTTGGTAGTACTAGTACTAAAAACAGTATTTTTTTAACTTTTGAATTCTGGTGTTTGTTGCCACTTTCGACAGATTGCCGCGTAGGCGTGAGCAATTTTCTGTCTTAAGCGGAAAAGTATCACTTTTCGCTCTTAATACACAAATAGCATGATATATTATTTAAAATTTAAAAATATGTTACTTACTTCTGCTACTCTTTCAAGTAACGGCTCTAGCCAATTAGCATTGCATTCGCAGTGGCTATCTAGAAAAGTTAATACGGAGGCGGTAGCCGCATCAGCTCCTTTCACTCTCGATCTCATCAGTCCTTCCCTTTTATCATTTCGAAGAACACGAACCTTCTGAATTTTGGATAATTCCTCACCGTCCGTAGCTAAAATAAATATTATTTTATTTAATAAGTTAAGATCATCAAGTTGGTATACAAATACAAAGGACATTCAAAGTCTAAATCACTACAGATAAAAAAATATTTAGACAAATAAAAGTTCCTAAATGTTAACAATTTTTTATTTTATATATTTTTGAAACAAATCATTGACATATTCGTATAATTCATACACTCGTCTATAATGTACCTAACGCATCCACCTCTATCTGCATACCAAAACCTCGACTTTCACCCATAAAGGTATCCTATTAGGTGGAGATTGGAGATGCATTCCATAAGAAATACGTTATTTAAAAGTGACATCACTGCGCGGGGCTTAAAAAGACCTCTAAGTAGAGTCGTATTTAGGTCTATAATTAAATTCACCTAAGAGCATTAACAAATAATCCATTACTGATCCGAAACTAATTTGTTGCGCAAGCGTGAGTCGTACACTATTATTTATTAACCGTTTTTGAGACTGAAATCTTATGTATTTCTAAATTTCTTCCCTACTCGCCTTGGATAAAATATATATTTTGATAAAGATAGAAGAAGGGAGAGTTGAAACAGTCATGGCGTTAAAGAAACCAAAAATGGAAGCTTCACAAAGAGTGAGGAGGAAAGAGCTCGCCTCTTACTCGAAACTCACTTTGGGAGCACACCTTTTTCTAAAAAGAGACACAACTAAAGTAAAGAGACCCTCAAGAGAGGCCGCTGTAGTGGTCAAACACATATGCAGCAGCAATCTGTTAAAGTGAGCCGTGAACACTTTTGAACCGATTAAGTATCCAGCGAGCAGTATTAATTAATGGAGCCATTATATAATGACTTACTTAGCCGAGAATAAAATGAAAGTAAATTTTACGAATCTATAATAATTTCAAAAAGGCGTGTCTAAGGCATAGACACGCCCCTTCAGGTGCAAAATCAACCTATCACGGTTAAAAGAGAAATAAAATATCTTATTTGGGCCTATTCTGACATATGGTTGTCCAGCATACTGCTCAATGTCAAATTCATACTTTTTACCATTACAAAGGGCACAAAACAGATGTCTGAGACTAGCACTTGGCTACGATCGCTATGCTAGAATACGAGACATGCACGAGACTACAAATATGCTTATGATCAGAGACTTTATCACTCAAACCGCAGAAAACTTCTATGCGCGATGCCTCCCTGAGGAATTGAGGGATAGCATCATTCAAATTCATCAGGGATACGGCGTGCGTAGGAAACACGGGTGTGTACATAAAAATCTAAGCATATATCGAAGACAATAACATGACCTATGATACTAAACAATAATTCACACGGACTGGATATTTACGAGATCTAGTCCGACGGAGGACTGAGCTATCAACTGACCGGCAGGTCGCGGCCGAGAGCGATTTTCGTAAAACGCAAAACACCCCGAGTGGGACGCGAATTGTACTGCCAGTAACAGGAGCGGGCGCACTCTGAGAGAGTTCGCTGAGGACCATGACTTGATTATACATTACCCTGAAGAACCCACTTATTTCCACGGACATACAGAAAGCACGCTAGACATAGCCATCTCGAAAAACATACCCCACATACACAACACACGCACACTGACAACACTAAACTCCGACCATGACCCAGTCTATCTAGAACTAAGAACAAACAACAAAATTGTCAGAAAATCTAGTAGCTACTATGACTATAAGACGACAGACTGGGCCAAGTTTAGAACTACACTTGACAGAAACATCGACATCAACAATCAAATAGACAACAACCAACAATTAGACAGAGAGACAGAAAAAATACAAAGAGCCCTCAGTATTGCAAGAGACAACTCCACGAAAAAAGTCAAAACAAAACAATACGAATACAAACTTCCCGACGAAATTTCCGACTTAATCACACAGAAAAACAGCATCAGAAAGAGATGGCAACAGTACAGAACAGAAGAAGACAAAATCCGACTCAATGACATCGCGAAACACATTAACTACAAAATCGGACAATTTAAGAACGACAAATGGCAACTTAAATTAAGCGAACTTAACACTAGGGACAACTCAGTCTGGAAAATGGCAAAAAGCTTCAAAAAACCCTACACTCAACTACCCTCACTCAACAGAAACAACATCTTACATAATACAGACAACGAAAAAGGCAGGGCCCTCGGGGAACACTTCCAGAGTAAATTTGTCAACGATCAGGTAAATAACGACGCACAAGAGACAATTGAAACCTTAGCTCGCGAAATCAAAAATTTGCCAATAGAAGCCGTACCTCGGTCATTTTTAGCCACGCCCCAAAACGTAAAAGACGCGATATTCAGACTTAAAAACAATAAAGCCCCTGGACCAGACGGTATAAACAACCTAATGTTAAAAAACATATCTAGAAAAGCACTAGTGCAGATTACACATATTATAAATGCCATTTTCAAACAACAATATTATCCAAGCTGTCTGAAAATGGCAAATATAATACCCATACTAAAACAGGGTAAGAGTAGGAAGGAAGTAGATAGCTATCGCCCAATCTCACTCTTAAATTCACTTTCTAAAGTTGTGGACAGACTGCTGCTTATCAGACTACATAAAATTGAAACGGACATGAAAATTATCCCGCAGGAACAGCATGGGTTTAAGGCAGGACATGGCACCATTTCACAAATAATAAGAATTGCGCATCACGCCAAAGAATCATTCAATAAGAAACACCAAACGGTGCTTGTAGCACTTGACATGGAAAAAGCCTTCGACTCTGTGTGGACCTGCGGGTTAGTTCATAAAATGTTTATGAATGACTTTCCCGTTCACATTGTCAAAACAATACAATCATACCTCACGAAAAGACAATTCCACATTAAAATCAACGATACGTTAACAGGACCTTACAACGCGCTGGCGGGCGTACCCCAGGGATCAATATTATCGCCGCACCTGTACACCATAATGACACATGACGTACCGCTTGGTCATGGTGGGGTACAGACGGCGCTACATGCTGACGATACCTGTGTCTTCAAGAGCTCAGATTCTGCAGAAATCGCCAACAGAAGGCTGGACATACATATTAATAGAATCCTCATTCCATACCTAGAGGAAAATAAAATGAGATTAAATTCAGGGAAAACTGAAAGCTTACTCCTCACTAAGAGGAAATCCATGAAAATTTTTAACAAATTAAAGGTAGGTAACAACACAATTGAGACAAAAAAATCCATGAAATACCTTGGATTTATCCTTGATAAAGATTTAACTTTCAAAAAACACATCGAGGACAGAGTGAGCAAAGCCACCGGGGCTCTGCGCACCCTGTATCCGATGCTACATAGACGTAGTAAAATGTCCAGAGCAAATAAAATACTTATGTACGTTCAGGTGATTCGGCCCATACTAACATATGGATGTCCGGTCTTCTGTTCCATGGCAGACATTCATTTCAAAAAACTTCAGATAATGCAGAACAGGTGTCTGAGGCTGATACTGGGATACGACCGCTATGCCCGCATAACGGACATGCACACCGAGACAAACATACCACTCATTAAGACCTACATACTCAACACAGCCAACAAATACTACATGAATAGTCTCCCGACACACATTAGGGATGACATAATTAACATAAGACATGACGGGGAGACTAGAAAACACGGATGCTTACACAAAAACCTGGAAATTTACGGACGATAACAAGGACAACCTCACTGCGACATAGGGCTCCGCTGCAAGCGAGTTACTAAAACAAACAGCCTCGACACGACTAGATACCAAGACTAGTCGGCGGAAACTGAACGGTAGGCCAATTGACGAATCGGAATCCACCTGGGCTCTGATTGGTCGATGGGAGTGCCGATCAGCGAAGCTGTCCAACCAATCATAGACTAATAAAATCCGACTCGGACAAGGGAAATATCCTGTTTTTTAAACATTTTTCAGGGTAAATATACACCAAAACTAAACTCAGACACAATTTTGTATTAAATTCATTACCGTAACCTAAGCAAACCAATAACTGTCTAATAATATCTGGGGATAAGGAGTAGACACGACAACAAAACTCGAAAATACATTCATGCATTGAGGGCAAAAACATCAGCCACGGCCCGGTAGGTTATACATGGGACTATTTGCTGCCTGGATATGTCATCAAGGAAGCATCTTTCAATATGTGATTTGTATTATATGTATATATCTGTAAATATTTTAAATAAAGTGATTTTTGATTTTGATTTGATTGATTTTCGTAACCCTGTTTTTTCAGTTTTTCAGGGATGACAGACAGAATTAAAATCAACAAAAACTTCATACTTTTCCATTATCGATATAGTTAGCAACCAAAATTGATCTATAATGTTGTTAGCAACAAGGAGATATCATTTAAATTCACTATTATAAATAATTACATAGGAATATACGGCCAGGACATCGGTCATGGACTCACTAGAGGCCATAGTAGCACTGGAATACTTCCTGGAGTCGCTAAGAAGAGATCCTGCTACAAATAAATATTTCAAATGTTATTATAGCAAGTTGTACATATTGTAAATAGAGAAATTTTGAAATGAAATGAATGAGCGATTTTCGTACTCGACTGCTGACAATTTACAGACAAGTTTGAGACTTAATACACACGCAAACATACGCAGACTGTGCCCTGTGACAACAAAACTAATTGTACAAATGCAAGCTGACTAGACGTAAAATATGGTCGGACGGTGGACTGCACGGTGAATCGAAAATCGGATCGGTGATATTTTTCGCTGCTTTGATGGACGGTAACACCGTGCTATCCACGAATTTGTACAAATTAGCCAAACACTATACAGACAAACGGACAATACAAAGACAACCCTGTTTTTTCTTAGCGCTTTTTCAGGGAAACTATACATAACTAACAACAGACAAAATTACTAAGATGAAAGTTCCATTACCGACGCAAACTAATCAATCAAAATTGCCATATAATATTTTTCGGAAATAAGGAGATGGCACCTTAAATATCTCACATTT